GGGGGGGGGGGGGGGGGGGATCATTTATGCCATCGATTTCTAGTCTCTAGCTGAATGCCCTCTAATGATTTGTATTAATGTATTCATTAGTTTAACTTTTCTTTATTGCAATTTCCTGGTGTAACTGTGCTATTTTTATCTATCAGGGCAAGATAACTTTTGCCTCATTCACGTCAGTCTTATACCTGTATTGGGGGTCGTGGGTGAGCAAGTAATACCTTATGCCACGTATATGATTAAAGCATGTGACTGTTTTGTTCTTGTTCCCTTTATTTTCCCTATACTCCTCACTGTAGTCTCCCTTGCCTCTGCAGAAAACTAAGCCTACACAACATAGTGTGCGGGAATTGAGAGCATTAGGTTTGATTCCCCATTTTTTAGCATGCCGTTCTGCTCAGGTATTTTGCCATCCTTTGCAATAATCTGCATTTAGTATTCTATATGATACCTACAGGATTAGTTTAGTTAATATTTCATAACAGTTTTAAGATGAGCTAGACTGTGCTTAGAAGATGCAAGGATCTCTGTGATCCCCTTTCCCTTTCATTTGTTCTATCTTCCAAGTTTGTAAGATGGATTAGCAGTGAACGTCCTCGCTAGTTTTCTTAGAAGCATTAGGACCTATCATCTTAATAGGTTTGCTTTCTCTAAGTAAAAGCTCCTCAATGTGAGTCAGAGCAAGGCAATTCAAATGTCAGTTTCACCTCAATTTGTAGGAGTTTGTTTTTCTTTGACACATCTCCATTCTGCTAACCCAGTGGAAATATGTTTATTTTGATTGTCTTACAGCCATTGCTTGAGAATGCCAAACAGAAGCTTTCGCAATTTTGTCATGTTCCTGTAAGTTTCATTTGTGAGGCTTTTTCTTACTGTGCGTCTTGGGTTTGAAAGTCACTTTTAACTTTTCCATTTTATTGCTTTTCCCCTAGGTTGCTAATATCCTAAATATCCATGATGTTCCAAACATTTGGCACATTCCTCTCTTGCTTCAGGTGGGCCTTGCTGCCATTAGTCATTTGTTGTATTGTAATGTAAATATTGCTCATGATTACCATTTTTAAAACAGAACCAAAGTGCTCATGATGCTATTCTAAAGCAACTGGATTTACTAAGGTACTAAGCTTCTTCGTTCTTCTTTTATGTTTTCTTTAAGCTAGAATTTGGAATTTTAAAACTATTCCCTGCATCCCCGAAAGAATGTTGGGATTCGAAAATGGGAGTCAATGCATCAAATTTATGGTGTGAATTCAGATATCAACTTTCTTGAATTCTCTTAGCTAAAATTTTAATATTTAGCAAATACAGTACGTAATACTATTATGCATCACACTTAATATATTTTTTAGTTAAAAGTCTTTGAAAACATCATAGACAAAGAGAAAACTGTTTGGATCCGCAAATACTGATGATAATGTCATTCTTTCTGGAAAAGAGGGAGTAATTCTCTACTTTCATTATTCCCCTACTGTTCTACTGAAATCCCAAAATTATTTAATAGCTACATATGCAGTTCTTTTCTCATTTATGAGTTTAACCTTGTATTTTTTTAAATTATAAGTAGCTGCTATCTGATATGGACCTAAACGAGCCTCATCGATTTTGATATTTTGTAAGAGCTTAATATGTTTGCTGACAATATTTATCTGTGTCTCAGTGTGGCAAGACATGTTGATTTACAGGAGTGGACCAGAAGAGCTGAGACATCTGATAACATTACCAAATCTGTTAGTAGGATCAGGAAATATAGGTATAATTTCTAACAAGTACATGCTCTGAGCAAAACTTATTCTTTTTTCAGGTGAGCATTGCAATGGTTGGGAAGTACGTTGGGCTAACAGATTCATATTTGTCTGTAGTGAAGGTACCATTAATGATACTGCAAAGAACATCTCCACATTTCTTTTAAAGCATAATAGACCAAACTGAAGTTTCAGGAACCGGCCTGCATGTGTTGCTTCCGATTTTATTTTCAAAGTAGCATTTTCCTATTGGACATTGCTAATATTCTACTTCCTGGTGCTGGAATAGAAAGATAAGACTTTTGCAGCCTAAAACTGTTACTTGGTATTGACTACTCTGTCTCTCTATGTTTCTTTTCATATTTCCAGGCTCTTATGCATGCATGTATTGCATGTTCATTGAAGCCATCAATTGACTGGATTGCAGCATCAGATCTTGAAGATGATAGTGCTAAATTGGTACCTAGCTTTTCCTCTTTTTCCTGTTAAGTGCTGCCTCAGACTGCTGATTGTAACTACATTTTTGCATAGAATCCAGAAGCTCATGCAGCTGCATGGAAGACTCTAAGGGTAAATTTTGATCCTTGTCTAGTAGTAATAGTTATGTCATCCTTCATTCTTGCTCCAGTTATTGCTCATGGTTTGCTCAATATTTTCACTTTATTTAGACATGAATTACTTCACCTTCTTTTTCTACTGAGAAAAAAAAAACAGTAGTTTTTTATAGCAATATTAGTCATAGAGCAAGGGTGACCAACTTCTTAGCTGATCATCTCTTTAACACGTCATGTTGTCTCCTTGGCGTGTTGACAATTCGAGGTTTATTTTGGATGAATTTGACAATTCAAATTTTTTATTGCACTGCTACTTACTCAAGGTTGGCCTTTAGCCCACCTGCCAACTTTCATCATCTTACTTCCATTTGTACATTTATTGTGGGTACCCACTAGCCGATTCTAGCTCATGGTGGTTGTGGTTTTCTAGGGTCTACCTTAAGATGCCTCGTTAATGCTGAGTGCTAATGTGAGATGTGTGTGAATATGTCACTCCAGTCAAATTCTAAGCTTCTATTACAATAACATGCAGTGTATCCCTGAATAGCGTTTTTGTCATCTAATATTACCAAGACTTTTAAGTATGGACTATTTTCTCTGAAAATTTCACTAGCAAGGTTGTGCAGAAATCTTGTTCATTTTAGAGGCTATTTAATCAAATCCTCCTGTGCAGGGTGCAACATGCGTTTTGGTTCCTGGTGGATTTGGTGATCGGGGTGTCAAGGGAATGATGTTGGCTGCAAGGTACGCCAGGGAGAATAGCGTGCCATATCTGGGGATCTGTTTAGGGATGCAGATCTCTGTTATTGAGTTTGCTAGATCTGTGAGTTCATTTTCTTGAACATCAAATCAGAAGATTCATTGTGTTTGATAACTCTGTAATAGTTGGCACTATATGGTTTAACCATTGAAGGTTTTACATTTGGAGAAGGCCAATAGTGAAGAGTTTGATCCCCAGACACCTGAGCGAGTTGTAATTTTCATGCCAGAGGTAGTTTGCTCACTATAAAGCATAAATAGATGGATGCTGAATTGCCTTTTTATAATAAATTTCCCATTTCGCTGCTACATTCTCTTTAAAGTATGGATTAGTAAGATTCTCTACTACATCTTCTTGGTAATGCAGGGATCAAAAACACATATGGGAAGTACCATGAGGCTTGGTTCTCGAAGAACATTGTTCCAGACTCCTGATTGTATCACTGCAAAGCTGTACAGATTCTATACATCATCATTTCACAGTTGAATCATAAGAATTAGACTAGAAAGCTTTCATCTATCATCATTAGAGTGCCTCCATCAGATGATTGGGTCATTTGTCATCTTTCAGGGCTTCCGAGGCTTTGAACTAGGCTTAGAATGTAATTTGTATGCTGTGTACCTCTGACAGGAGCATAACACCTGATCTTGAAGTTATCAAGCCTGATCGGGATGGGGACTATGATATTCGTTTGGACATCTTTTTTCATTGAGACTACCTGAGTTTTTGCACCTGTGCAGGATTTCTTTGATATTTGCATTGCATGTTTATAAGAGTACCTAACATTCTTTCTGTTGGCAGGTATAACAATTCAGAATATGTGGACGAACGGCATCGGCATAGATATGAGGTTAAACCATAAGAGTTAACTTTGTTGCATTGAAATGGTCGTTTCATGTATGTTGTCATCCCTGCAGCATAACGTTTTAGCATTTTGTGTATGTTGCAGGTCAATCCTGAGATTGTTGGCTCTTTGGAAGAAGCCGGCTTGAAATTTGTAGGAAGGGATGAAAGTGGGAAACGGATGGAGGTTTGTTTTTGCAGTATCGGTTATAAGTCACTATTGACTTCCTGAAGAAAAGAAAAACTAGTTCTCTGTGACATTGCTCTTGCACTATGTCAGTGATCATTTGGTCACATTGTCTTCTTTTTTTTTTTCCTTCAAAAATCTCGGTGGTGTTGGGGCTAGCTTGAGCACACCTCAACTATTCCACCCGATACCTGCTACCTCACACCCACACAGGTACCAGGTAACTCTGCAAACCAAAGCTTGAGTAGATTGGGAGAAATCACCTAGTGTTTTTTGCGTCCATTGGGTTTGAACCCAAGACCTCATGGTTCTCCTCCCACTTCATTGACCACTAGGCCCCACCCTTGGGTGCATCGTTTGGTCACATTGTTGTGATTTCCTGATTACTTTATTCTTTCTGTTATTGCTATTGTTGACTTGTTCTTCCTCCCCAACCCAAAAAAAATGCCTTTTATGCAGATTTTGGAACTTCCAGATCATCCATTTTACATTGGGGTGCAATTTCATCCTGAATTTAAGTCAAGGCCTGGGAGGCCCTCTGCTCCTTTTCTAGGTAGGGATTAGTTGGATGAATGTGTCTGCTGCGTATAATAATTATGGACTTCATGCTATATAAAAGAAAATGGCATTTTTGGTTCTTATTATTTCCCTATTATTGACATTTATGTAAATGTGAATCGTCCTTTATCTAAGAGGCAGTTTCATAGTTCCGTACAGTTTCTGTGCTTATTGTTATATTGTTTTGCTCTAGGCAGTGACATCGGATGATGTCCTTTATTTCTTCACAAGGAAGATTTATCAGTTTAACAAAGTTGTTTATATTGCTTAAGAAATCTATGGCTGTTCTTATGTGTCTTGATATATACACATGTGTCTTGATATATACACATATATGAAGATATATGTATATGTTTCTTTAGATTAGGGTAGCAGTGGCGAAGGATATGGGGAACAATTAGTGGGAGGGTTATAGGGGATAACTAGTTTAAACATTCTTTCCTCTATGAGCAGCCGTTGCCAATTGAGCTAATCCTTTGTTGCTGCATTTCTCTCTCCAAGCATGTTTTGTATTCGTCCATCGCTTCCTCTAGTGGCAATGTGCAAATTTATTTGACCCTGTCAATATATTGGTATAAATTGATCTTTTTTCCCTTTCTTTTTTCGAGGCTGGTCTCTACCTCCACAAAGGTAGGGGTAAGGTGTGCGTACACATTACCCTACCCAGACCCCACTATGTGGGATTATACTGGGTATGTTGTTTTTTCCGAGGCTGGTGGTGGAAGAGAGGACCTGATAAGCTGAGCAGACAAATGTTATACATATATTAATTATGCGATGATACTGTATTCCTATGCATTACGCCATAAAAAAAATAGGATTCTAACAGAGTTTGCAACTTGTTAATTCGACATGATGTGATGATCCCTCTACCTAAGATCTATCTATCATATTTGTCATTGTGCGACAGGTCTGGTCTTGGCAGCAACAGGACAGTTAGAAGCTTATGTTAAGAGGCAGCAGAATGGAAGTGTGTATGCAATACATCAGCAGTAGCGGTCATATTGGTTTTGTAACGAGGTGCATGTCTTAAAGAATATTAACATATAGTTGCCCAAGTACAATCGAACCCATGCAGACCAAGCGATAGATAGGGTACGATGGAGAAGATCTACCTAAGCGATACCAATTAGTTGTGCATATGTTATAGTCATGTAAGTTTATTTAGTCTAGTCCTATGCTTTTTAGGAGTTTTAACCGTCTGAGATTTTTATGCCTACAGAAAATATGGAGAACTTTTGGTAATTTTTATTTGTATGATGTTGGCCTGAGATGACTTTAAATGGAGAAACATGCCAGTGAAGATTCATAACCCCATGGGATTGAGACGAATATTGTTGTTTTAGTTGCGTGGACGAACTTTCTGTCTTGGATATAGATGAACTCTAGAACTTCTGCCCTTTTATTCAAATGGAAGAAGTGCAAATAAGCAAAATATGACATGCTGGCCTAGTTGATTACTGACTGTCACCATGCATCATGAGATCTTCAGAGCCGCTTTCTAGTTAAAATCCTTTCGTCTTAGACGAATAAAAGGGGATGGGAGCTATCTAGAGCTGGGGATAAAAAGTGGGGAAACGGTTCTTCTGCATGTCATTTGGAGTGCTGCTGCTGTTGTTTTGTCACTTCTGTGCAAGCAATGTGTTCCTGCACGATATCTCTCATATTTTTGTTCTGTTGAACCTCTTCTTCACCTTTCATCTTGTTTGGTCTAGTTTGACATACGAGACAACTTTGTTATTGAGTAGTATATACTGAGAAATGGAAGTACCCTTAGAAGATTTACGTAGATGGAACCCCTTGAAGTCTAATGCTTAAAAATCATGTTGAGTTTGGAATTAGAACTCATTTAAAAGGGGAAAAATAAGAAAGAAATGACATTAGATTCTTGGCCTGTTGCACATATCAAAAACTTTGCAGTGATATTTCCCATTTCAATTAACTGCCAAATTATAATAGCCACAGCCCACAACTTAGCAGCTTAGACTTTTTTCTCTTTGGTGATAAGTGATAACTTATGTTGCTTAACTAGAAGGGTAGAGAATGCTTTAAGTTTTGCATTTGGGATGCAGGAAACTGCGTTGTTGCGTACGTCCTCTTAATATTTGTCCTCCGAGGAGACAATTTGAACATCAGGCGGTGACTAAGTTGTATATGGCTGCTGCCTGTGCTAAAAGCTCAAAAGAGAATTATAGCCTGTTTGGCCAAGCTCTTTTTTAGGCCAAAAGTGCTTTTTTTTGGCCAAAAGTACTTTTGGAAGCTTTTGGAAGGAAAAAAGTGCTTTTGAGGAGAAGCAAAAGCAATTTTGGAGAAGCAGAAAAAAGCAGTGTTTCTCCAAAAATACTTTTCTGAGAAGCACTTTTGAGAAAAATACACTTAGAAGCAGTTTTCAAAAGTTTGGCCAAACACTAATTACTGCTCAAAAGTGTTTTTCTAATTAATTAGCCAAGGACAAACTACTTCTCACCAAAAGCACTTTTGAGAAAAATACACTTAGAAGCAGTTTTCAAAAGTTTGGCCAAACACTAATTACTGCTCAAAAGTGTTTTTCTAATTAATTAGCCAAGGACAAACTACTTCTCACCAAAAGCACTTTTGAGAAAAGCATTTATCAAAATAAGCTGATTTTAGAAGATTGACCAAATGGGCTATTAGTATAACTAAAGGGAAATTGACCTATGTCTCAAGGTGGGACTTAATTTTTTCGATGTTTAAATTTGGCCATATATCCAAGGTATAAACAAGGCCTATAGTTTAGTGATATTGGTACAAGTCTCTCACACAATAAGTGTTAGGTGAACTCACACTACTCATGTTTCCTTTTTCCTTTCCTCGATTCTCTTATGTAGTATAGTAGAATTAAGAAAAAGTTAAACAATCCAAAGCCTTCAAGAATAGTAGCAGAGAAAGAAAACCATCCATTGTTGTGCGGTGGCGAGGAGAAAGCTCCGCTATTGTAGAAAATGGACGCCATTGGTTGTCTCTTTCCTCTGCAGCCACACAAACTCATCCATCCCTTTGACCGTTTTGCCCTAATTAAGCAATTACTGGTCGATTTAGTTATTTTGAATAAATGCATGATCTAATGTTGAATGAAAATTTTAAGCTACAAAATCTAAAGAATAGAGCCGTACATTTTTCCCCCATAATTATTGTGGTTGTTTTTATGACAAATGTGAATGCACGGTCATTTCAGTACTTGCAAGCTTAAATTGAATGGTAAAACTGTCCAACAAAACAGTAACGCCAGGATCAACATAGAAATTCTAGCTAGGTTCCTTTTGGCCCTCCTATATATAGCATAAGAACACTTGTAATTGCACCCAAATTCTTTTTCCATAACTCCACCTGCATTTTGCAGGGGAGGTAATTGTGTTGTCGCCGTTTTTAACCCTCACTAACAGGAAAAAGCTCTTCCGAAGAATGACGGAAGGCGTATTCACCATCACAGCAACTGACAACGACAACAGCAGAGCTCAAGCGTCTATAATTTCCAATTACAATATTGACACCCGCAATGATGTCGTCGAAACCCTGCAGCCTAACGGCGTCATTAATAACGGAGAGAGGCTCACCGATGACGTAATGAGGAAGACGAAGAAGAAGCCAGGTGTATTTGGCTTGTTCAAAGCTGCAATGTTCGTGTTGCGCCATCGTACAAAAGGAAAGCAGAAAGCAGCTCAGGTAGCTGTGTCATCCACCAAGGGAGATTGGAAGAAGCTGGTGGGGTCCATGCGGCCTCTGCATCTCCAGGACAACAATAGCCAGGCGGCGTACGACTACTGTGCCACCACATCTTCACCCTCAGCTTTGTCGTGTAGCGGAACCATGAGCCAGTACGCTTCGGCAAGCGATCTCCAAGCAATGGATGTTCCTGCTGCTGGTGCACCCTCAATTACTGACAGCATGAGCCAGTACGCTTCAGCAAACGATCTCCAAGCACTGGAGGCCTCAACTTCTTCTGGCACCATGAGCCAGTATGCTTCCGCAAACAATCTCCAAGAACTCGATGACGAGGAGGAAGAAGAGGATCCAGACCAGGTCTTCGATGCTATTGGCGCTGACGACATGATCGATGCCAAGGCCGAGGAGTTCATCCTTCAGTTTTACCAACAGATGAGGCGTCAAAACATTGACTCAATGAGCGGCCAATTCAATTAATTATTTAACTTAATAAACACAAAGGGGAAAAAAAAAGAACAAGGTCAAGAATAAGTAAGGCTATACGTACGTGGAATTTTTAGGCATGCACGCCCGCGGTTGGCTCATGATGATCGACGTGCATGCATTTTACATAACATTTATTAGTCCAATTATACATGTTATATGAAAGAGTTAGATCGAAGAATGGACTAATAAACAAAGCATTCATCATAAAATTTCTTATATGTATTCTATTATATGCAGGCTAAATATATGAATTGCTATACAAAGACAAGAGGAACGTAACAAGGCATGACTATTCTATAGCCAGCCATTATTTAACCTCCTTTAATTTCATTTATATATCTTGCTTTACTGGAAAAATTTCTGTCTTAGGGTGTACTTTCAGTTAAGGCGTTATATATTTGATCACTAGTTGTAGACATTTTTGCCTTGTCTTCATGTCCTTGAGCTTTTTCCTCATTAGCTCCCGACGCAAGGTCAGTCGTTTCTTTCTATTTTATCTGCCATAAACCGAATCCACTTGCCTTAGCCCATCGCCAGCTATATTTTTAAAAGTCTTTTTCTGTAATAAGTCACACATGAATCATTGTTAAGAATAACAACTTGGTTCTGTCTATGAAGAACAATTACATTATGATCAGTACTTTAGCGCGCAGTGTTGGAGACAATTTTAATAAATTAAATTGTGTCTTCCGACACTGATTCATAAGAAAAAATACCTTGTGTCTATATAATTTTTCCCGTTATGTACATGTATATACTGCATCCACTTGATTGGTACAAAAATCTTAAAACCATCACGTTGTCAAGACCCAAGTTCACTTATCAGTCGAATTATGGCTAAAGAACGATATATATCGCTTGCGTAAAATTCTGCGGCTGGAATAAAATTGGTGGTTGATTATTTCCATGAATCATGTGATCGATGATAATTGATGAGCTATATTAACTTAGACGGAAAAAATGGTAACTCTAAGTGTTGAGAGCTATAGGCCCTGCCTATTTAACTATACTATAGTTAGAAGAGTAGTTAGTAACTATAGTTATTAGTTGTTGAGTTAGTTATAACAGTCTCATGTATAAATAGTAGCTTAGATACTCATATCAATACAACAATGATGAATTCTGTTTTTTGCATAACTATGAAGTAAATGCTTCCTTTCTCTTTCTCTCATTTCTTTCTTTCTCACCTCCATAGGTGAAGCTTCTTGATATGGTATCGGAGCTCGGTTAAACAAGTGTTAGAGTTCAGTTGTGACAAATCTCTTAAGTTTCGTCTATATTTTCCAAATCAGATTGATCATTTGAGCCAGTTCTCAATTCGAATCTCACTCCTCACAAGCTAGGGTTTGGAGATTTGTTCGATTGAGCCTCGATTGACTGTCAACAACTGCATTTCTTCTTAATCTCAGAAATCTCAGAGTTTCTCCTTCAATTTTGCAACTATGTCGGTTAATGAAGAAGTTGCTGATAACAGTTCACCACTCAGACCTTCGCACAATCAGTTGATCATCATCATCCTCTATACATTCACCCATCCGATACACAAGGTTCAGTTCTCATCTCTATTCAGCTACAAGGCTATGAAAATTACTCTATTTGGAGTAGATCATTGAAAATTGTGTTGCATGGCAAAAATAAATTAGTGTAACGACTCAGCCGGTCGTTTTGAGAGTAATAGCCCCGATCCCCTATTTACTGTTTTTTCCGTATCTTTTTCTGCTTATGTGACTTGCCGGGAGGTTCTGTTTTTGATTTTGGAGTGATTTGGAACACTTAGTCCCTAAAACGGAAGCTTAAGTTCTATGATTTTGATCATAGTTGGAACTGTGTGAAGAAGACTTCGGAATGGAGTTTTGTCGGTTCCATTAGCTCCATTGGGTGATTTTGGATTTAGGAGCATGCCCGGATTGTATTTTGGAGGTCTGTAGCTGAATTAGGCGTGAAATGGCGAAAGTTGAATTTTTGGGGAGTTTGACCGGAAGTGAACTTTTTGATATCAATGTCGGATTCTGATTTCGGAAGTTGGAATAAGTATGTAATGTCGAATATGACTTGTGTACAAAATTTAAGGTCAATCGGGCATGATTTGATAGGTTTCGGCATCGGTTGTAGAAGTTTGAAGTTTCAAAGTTCATTAAGTTTGAATTGGAGGATGATTCGTGATTTTAGCGATGTGATTTGAGGACTCGACTAAGTTCGTATGGTGTTGTAGGACTTGTTGGTATGTTTGGTTGAGGTCCCGGGGGCCTCGAGTGGATTTCGGGTGGTTAATGGACTAAAAAATTAGACTTGTGAAAGTTTCAGAATTTCTGGTGTTTCCAGTTGCTAGTTTCCTTCTTCACATTCGCGATGGGAGTTCCGCGTTTGCGAAAAGGAGCTGAAGGCAGGAGTGGATTTGTGCTTCGCATTTGCGATAAAGGTCCCACGTTCATGTCACGATCCAAACCGATGGGCCACGATGGGACCCCGGTACCTTACTCAACTGAGTACCAACATAACATTTCTTTCTTATTACATCATCATATACATGTGACATACGGGCCTAATAGGCCAACATGATCCTTTATAAACTCAAAACATAGGCCGATAAGTCCGTACAATCTTTCACGTACACGACATATGTCTACAAGCCTTTAAGAGTACATAAATGTCATAAAGGTCGTGACAGAGTCCTGCCATGCAAAACAATACACGTCTAAATTATACTAACCAAACACGCAACTCCGAAGCAAATGGAGCACACCAACATCTTCCGCTGAGTTGATAGCCTACTTGGAAGGCTCTCGACCTGTCTATCTGGACCTGCGGTCATGAAATGCAGCGTCCCCAGGCAAAAGGGACGTCAGTACGAATAATGTACTGAGTATATAAGGTACATAAATAAGCACATAACAGACATGGAGAAAATATAGAGTAAATGACTCCACTTGTAAATTTGAAAACTTTGTAAATCATAAAATAATTATAGTATCATGCATATGCGTGTGAATGTCATGTCGTGCATAGGTACATGTCTCATAACATCATCAGCCTCTGAGNCACGAAATATTAATAATGTCATGCACGTGCGTATAAATATCGTATCATGCATAGGTATAGGTGTACATAACATCATCCAACCTCTGAGGGAATCCCATCATATCATCTTGGCCACTGTGGGCAAAATCATCAACGTATACCAGCTGATCAGGTGGTGGTGCGTATATAATGACATAACCTTTCCCATATCCCATATACATACATATATACGCATATATAATGCCATCTGGTCATGGGTCAATGCACATGAATGCAATGCATGAAAAGTACGTTAATAAAATCTTTCAGAATTTCATAAGACCATTTTGCCTTTTAGTAATATCATAAAGTAAACTCTTTTCTACTTTCGTATTTTTCTGTGACCCATGAACAGATGATAGAATATTATGACACATGGAAATTCAAGAACATAGATATCTCTAATACTTTTTTGAATAGAGTCATTTATGGAATTAGTGCATTTGCTCGTTTCTTCTGTATAACTTGGACCATGCCGAAAAGAAAGAAGGGATGACCTTAACATTCCTGAACTGATTCTCTTTTTGCAAAAACACGTAACGGAGAATCGAAGTAGGGAAAAATCCGTATAATATTCTTGAGAAAGATTGCACCGTGCTCCCTTAGAATTTGTAAAATTCCCCGTTACTAAATATTAAGTAGTCTTGTATAAGATTTGATTGTAGCAAATCACATATACAATTTGTATGAGATTACACACGGTCTTGACAATATACCAGTTCCAATCTTTGTCAAATTTGGCTTAATTTTGTGCTAAAATAATGCTTGTATCTTTTAGTCTTAAGGGGGAGTAAGCAAGCATTAGCTTGCTGTGCTAAAATAAATATTTGTATGCAAATCTCCTTCAGAAGACTAAAGAAGGGGTGAATTATTTAATGGACACCTTGCTACATAACACATGAGTCACAAACCACTTAATGGACACCTTGCTATAATAATACATGAGTCATTTAATGTATTGTCATGTGGCTGCCACATTTTTTGCCTTTGTCTTTATCCAAAGACTTCAATTAATCCACCACTAATTATTAATTAATTAGGTAATGTTCTATTATTCAGTAATTAATCCATTACCCGCATAATTAAAAATTATTCCCACTTTCTTAAAATACTAGTCACTTTTTACATACCTTATACACCTTACTATCATGTTCATATGGTACCTTGTATGACATTAGTCCATAAATATTAAGTATTTTAGCTCGGGCCGTATTTTATCCCAAAATATCAAATTTCAATGAAATTCATTTTCTTCGACTTGCTTCCCCTCTCACCTTCACGAATTTATTCATCGCTTACAATCCTTATAATCTCCAAATAATCTTTTCCTTGGACTGATGTCAATTACCTTACGACAAATTCAACGTACAATACTATATGGTGCAACATCGTCGTAACNCAGAACATTTGTCCTTGAATGTTGACTGATGCACTTATCATTTTCATATTTATGTCTTTCGAATACTTTAGTAGTCTCCTTGTCATATAGGCAACCGTTCTATGAATAAATCCAATGACCAGGGCATTCCCCCCTTTAGGTCTCTTTCTCACACTACGACTCGTGGTCGAAATTCTTCCAATCTTGTAACTGTTGTTACCTTCTATCATGCAACCCTTACGACTCTGACCTTGTATGTGCGCCTATGTGATGCTTCTCCTCCCTTTCCTCTAGCTCTTAGCCCATATCTAGGCCTCACTTTGTAAACATATACAGATCTTGACAAGAGGTCCCTCTGGGCATCTATAGGTACGCTGAAGTTCTTTGCTCGGTACTTTGTTGAACTTACAAATATTGTTGTACCTTATTTCATAGGCCTGATTATCTATCCGCATGACTTTAATGCATCTAAGTAAGTTGTAATATACCATAAATCTTACCACGATTTATCGTTAGTGCGGTCTGCTACCAAACTCCAGGTTACGTTCGTTGCTTATCCCATATGTATAAATCTATGTCATTTAATGCTTTCTCATTACTGTTCCTCTTAAGAATGACGGTCTAATATTACCTCATACTTTGTGAATTTTGTCCATCCATTCTTGATTCACCTTAATGTTGATCTATCATTTACCATTGATAACTTTATCTCTTATGTAACACTGCCGCTAGGGATCACATCTCATCGAGGACATCTGGAGTAATTAGATTGATACACATAGGGGCGATATATACTTTCATTACCGTATTTTATAGTATCCAAGTGTGATTCACCTTGCGTTTTTAATTCTGTACAATCCATGAAATCTTCTTCAAATCATTACTTAGTCGAAGGCCCAAACGTCATCCTTTATCTATCACAAATACACTCCCATTCCACTACCAGGGCAGAATTACATTTTTTTTCTAGATATTATTAGTCTTAGACTCCTTTGAGTTC